GCGATGAAGTCCAACTGCTCTTGGGGAGTAGTAGACTCCCTCATATCCTGGCAGTCTTCCACTAAGTGATTTGAGCTCTCACACCACTGACACTGAGCAACTGGAGGTGTAGCCAAACCTCTGCCCGGAATAAGACTGTTGGGCTGCTTCAATGTCTGCACTAGCTCAGCTACCTGCTGCTCGAGCCCGGATCTGGTCTCCATGGCGTGCACACCACGATCTCGGGAATGTCTGCCTCGGCTACCCTGTCCCCAAGAATGATCTCTGGCAGCCAAAGTACTGATCATCTGGTTCAGCTCGGGTGGAGTCTTAGTAAGAATATCCCCTCCTGGGCATAGAGACTCAATCACCCGCTGGCTATCTGGAGAGAGGGCACTGTAGAAGTTCCCCACTGTGAATGCATCACTGAAGCCATGATGGGGACACTGCCAGAAATAGCCCATGTACCGCTCCCAAGCATCACGAAGTGACTCATCTGGCTCTTGGCGGAAGTGAGTGATCTCCCATTGGATCTCTGTAGTCTTCGATGTCGGATAGTACCTGTGCACGAACTTGTCAGCCAGATCGTCCCAAGAGGTGATGGACAATGGAGGCTGGGTCTCCAACCACCTCTTAGCATTCCCCGCCAAAGAACGGGGGAAGAGATGAAGGCGGATTGCATCATCCGGGACACCATTCAGCTTGAACCCGTTCGTCAGCTGCAGAAAACGAGAAAGATGTACCCTGGCCTCCTCATCCTTCAAGCCATGGAACTGGATAGAGGATGTAATGAGCTGAATCCAGCATGGCTTGATCTCGAAGTTGTTTTCTGGAATAGGCGGGTAGAGGATGACCGGGCGGATGTCAGCAATCCGCGGAGTGTAGTAGTACTCCAAGGTGGGACCCGACGGCGGGTGATGATGATGAACCCCATGATCCTGGGGTATGGGGTTGTTCCCCAGGACCTGATTCACCGGGGGAGCCTGCTGAGGATTCCCCTGGTGTTGATTGTAGTCTTCCATTTCGTACTCCTCCTCAGAATCACTGCTCACGTGGCCGTCTATGCGCTCTTCCGTAGCCAGTCTAGCCCGCTGTTGTCTCCTGAGTTGGCGACAGGTGCGTTCAATCTCTGGATTCAACGGCAGTAAACCTTCCGACTGGCTACGGGTCATGCACTACCTGCACACAATCAAGCAAGATAACCCGTGAAGCCACAAGTGGGACAAAGCAAACAAAGCAAAAAGAAAAGCTAAATTAACAGAAATCACTTTTCTTCAACAACCTAGCCGTCCCCGGCAACGGCGCCAAAAACTTGACTCACTTCTACTGTCACCCTAGGAATTGGCCAAGTGAAACCACTTCCTAAAGCGTAGTATAGCGGGTTTAGGTTTAATTATCAACCCGGGTCCTAGATTTGATGACTACTCAGTGAATTCTTGTTATTTAGCAATGAAACTGGAATGCAAGTCTAAACTACCAAACAAACAAAGCAAACAAACGGTTGTATTCAAGTTAAGAGAGGTCACCCAGATATGGTTCCCCCTAGACTGCAGTTAAGCCGGATTGTAATTACCAAGTTCAGTTTCTATGATACTTATACTGCGGAAGGTTCTTAAACAGCCTGAAGTCTCGACTAAAGGTCTTCAGACCCTCTCAATCTGAGTCTCTAGCGGGCGACTAACCTCCACCGGAGTAAACAGATTGAGGCCTTAACAAACAAAACCTCCACTACCGGAGTAAATCCGGTACAGAATAGTGAGTTGGCTCCTCGACTAAAGTCACCAACTCCCTACCTTCAATCAAGGATGCTCTATCAACCTAGGCAGATATTCTCATTCTAGGTTAAAGCAGAAACAACAGGAATTTGATCAGGATTCAAGTCATTCAATCATTCAAACCTCAATCGAATATAATCAATCATAGAATCAGTACTTGGGTTCATACAATCAAAGCCTAACATATAAATCTAGGGTTCTCCATACCCAGATGAATGGGAGAACTACTCCATGGAGAAAAAAGCAAAAGCAGAATCAGACGCGGAATTCATACTGTGAAGGATGGATTCCTGCTTCTCGACGTTGATCGGCACTTCCCCAAGCTCAAACTGGCCTCCAATGGTGTTGAAGATCAATCTAGGGCACTTGGAGACTCTTGTTCGTTGCTTTCTCTCTCTAGGAATCGTTCTATCTCTCAAAAACTCCCATCCTCGACTTGTGGCTGAAAATCTGCTTAAAAGCAGAAAATCCCGACTCACACGGCCAGGGTGGCACGGCCGTGTGGCTTACCCAGTTGCCCGTGTGAGTCAAAACGCTGCGTTCCAATTAGTTTGATCTTCAGGCTTCTCACACGGCCAGGGTCGCACGGCCGTGTGAGATTTCCATCTGCCCGTGTTTGCTCTCGGCGAAACTCGCACGGCCAAACCACTCCTTCACACGGCCGTGTGAACATCAGGGCAAGCCGTGTTTGCTCTCGCACAATCTCACACGGCCAAAGTGGTCACTTGCACGGCCGTGTGAGTTGTGGGTGTGCCCGTGTGACCTCCTTTGTGACTTGTCTCGCGCCCGATCTTCGCCCAATCGACCCCGAACTTGCTCCTAAACCTTCATTCACTTGCCAGGACCTGAAATATCACAAACAAGCACAACCTAGCGTGAAATCGGTCTAAAACACGAGAAACCACATCTCAAACGGTGTAAGAACAGGGGTGAAAACATGTGTAATTAACGGTCTATCACTTAGCATTTCATCATTCCTAGACATATTTCACGCTAGGTTGTGCTTGTTTTGATACTTTTCAGGTCCTAGCATGTATGGAAGGGCCGAGGTCGAATTTTGGGATAATTGGAGGTCAAAAAGCGACAAAACCGAAGAAAAGAGACCGTGACAATTGCCTTGTAGTAGTGAAGTGAAGGCGTCCAGGAAATTGTCGCAGTTCACGGCCGGACAAGGCAGTTCACGGCCTCCTTAGACTGTGAACATGGACCACAAACCGTGAATATCGAGCAGTCTAGCGAGGTTCCAAAAGTTACTGACGATAAGGCAGTTCACGGTCTCTAAGATTGTGAACTGGGGCCATTGACCGTGAACCCAGCAGAGTGAAGCGGCGCGTTTTGGATGACGCTGAGTTCACGGACGCGTTTAAGTGTTCACGGCCATGGACTGGCCAACGCGTCCGTGAACTGATCACTTTCGAGCAAATACGAAGACAGCAGCGGGGAGAGAGAAATGGGGAGCTAGTTTTTGGAGAAGAAACACTTTCTTTCTCTAGGGTTTCAACCTAAACACAAAAGGGGAGTTCTAGTAAGAGAGAGAGAGTGCTAGAGTGATCTTGGAGCATCATTGGAGCTTGGGTGGAGATTCAAGCCTAGAAGAAGAAGAAGATCTTGAGCTCAAATTTGTAATCCCTCTCTCTCTAGAAACTCACTCTTTTCTCTTGGGTATTGTAGATCCCTAACTAATACTTTGTAATTACTTGTTTAGATTGAATGATTGTCACTGGGTATTGTTTAATTTAATCATTGAGGTATTATTCATGTTGATTGTGCATGCTTGTGCTTAGCAATCTAAAGGTTGAGCATGTTTTGTGCTCGGCATCCTTAGGTTTGTGCATGTTGGTGCTTAGCAACCTAAGAATTGTGCATAATTATGCTTAGCACCCTAAGGTTTGTGCGTGTTGGTACTAGCAATCTAATTAGCCACCTTAACCTAGCTTAGAGAGGAAAATCCCCCTTCCAAGGGAGACTTAATTGAGTTGGTTTTTAAGCCACCTAACTAGGTTAATTTAGGGCAACCCACATTGTTGAATTAAGCAAATCGGTCAATCGCGACTAAGCCGTCCGACCTTTGAGCTGAGTGAGGGAGTAAGTCAACTATCGATTGCCTAAACCGAGAGTGTCGAGTGAGACGGCCTATATTGTTCACATCGGTTTAACAATTGAGATTATGATCTTCGACCATATATGCATCTCTCTGCGGTTCGCGGTTAACTTGCCCATAGCAATTGTTCCAATCCAACGAGTCTTGGTAGCTAGTTAGGGGGAAGCAACTCCTAGGTGAAGCTCCCTTAGTTAGACTTTTCCTTTATTTACTTTACCTTGCTAGTTTAGTTTGTAGTTCCATTAGTTATAAACCCAAAAGTTGCTTGCTAGATAACAACCTAAGCGATTGAAGTAGGGGTACATGGATCGGCCCGAGTTGACAATTTAAATACTTGCTCTATACTGCACCAGGCTAGAGTTTAAAAACTTGGGCTCTATTCGGGATTAAATTGTGGTGTAGTTTCGTGCGAGTCACATGGTCATTCGATCCATCAAGTCGTAATTTCTAGCTATGGTGAGCAACACCCGGGTGAAGCTTTCTCAATAAGTGTTCAATCCATTTACTTTTCCAAACATTTTAGTTATAGATCATTGTTTTCACCAAAAACCAATTTGCTAGATAATGTTTGCAACAGTCGAAGTAGTAGTACATGGACCGGCCCGGGTCGATATTTAAACATACTTGCCTTACATTACACCTATCTAAGGTTTATACTTGGACATTAAGTGAAATTTTATTGTAATAATTAGGAACGAGTCAAAGTAACCTGATTATCACAAAACAGAGTGGGACTGAAGGAGACGAGCCATATGGTTAACATAAATTACTAGTTTAATGGCGTGAAACTGACTACAAGATTTTTTTCTTTAATATTTGTAAACCGAAGATGATGGGATGTGATTTTTACGATCCAGCCAGTGGTACACTACTGTACTTGTCCTTGCTTTCTTTTTTGGACCAATGGTTAGCATAAGGTTAAAATATTAATCGAATCCTGTGATGTCGGAGCATCTCTACCTAATTACTTGTTAGTGAACCAAGATTAATAATGAAATAACAAACCCCAAAACAAAACAAATCACCATATCTGGATATCAAATATTCGCGTCTGCTTCTCAACGAATGATATTCCTTCCTTCGCTTTCCCGATCATGATATTAGGTGAGGCGTCAGGAGACAGGCAACCATTATCATTATCTCATCTAATCTCATCACCTTTTTTCATAATTCCAATTTTAATCGATCTCCACAAAAGCTTAACTAGAACTCTAATAAAAACCGATGAAAAGACAAAAGAAAAACCCCCCTGCGACTGCGAATAAAAAAAAAAGAGCACCCTTCTAGTCTTCTTCTACCAAACTCAGACCACCACTAGGCACAAACCTTCCCTTTCTTTTTTCTTTTATAATCTCAAGCCTTTCTTTTCTTTTACAAACGACACAGTAAAAGGAGATATTTACATTTCTCTCCTCTTCCCGTCTCTCTCTCTCTCTTCTTTTAGTGGCCAAAACAAAAAGGAAGATATCGTAAAAAACTAAAAAACAAAAGTGAAATAATAAAAAATATCCACACTCTTCGGTCTTCTTCTTCTTCTGGTTGTTGCCTGTTGGGGTTATGATGATTACTACACACATGGCGGCATGTGGTAGGACACCCTGCCCCTCATACCGACAACTCTGATGCCCTCCCACCGCCGTTGCCGGATCTCGGTTGCCGCAGAAGCTCTATCAATGTCTCTGCCTGCACTCCACAACACAACCCTAATCATCACCACCGTGACATCCATAATTTTCCACTAACACCCCCCAAAACGACACAATTGCACCCAAAAAACGGCATCTATCACCCCCAAAATGTTCATAAGATGAACATGTGCTTAAAACCGATCCATCGGATGTTGCGGGCTCACCACTATTTGACATTTGACAAATATATATATATGGTGATACACTCATAATCAATTCCAACGTAAAACCGGTACTTATGATGTGCACTTTTTTCACAAGTTCCCCATAATTAAATTATTTTTTTCCTACCCAAAAAAAAATATTTTTTTTTAATGTGAAAAATGCGGGAGTGAAGCTCCCAACAATCCCATCATTCATTGGCATTAAGCATTTGGTGGGGTGATGAGAGTTTTTCTATTTTTTTTTTTGTATCCCCATTAATAAAGGCGAGTGACGTGGCAAACTAGTGTCCACTTTTTTTGGTTACCCCATTTTCCAGAAAATTCAAACAAAACAGCCCACACCAAAACAACATTGATGTTTCATCACATCTCTAATACTAGGCCACGTCACGGGGAAAAAAAATTCTCCAACAAAGGAATGAATTAATTAATGAATGAAAGGGTAAAGCAGTCAGCAGCTCTCACCTTTTGCTTGGCGCGATTGGTGCCGGACTGAGACAGAGCCACCAACGGCGGGATCGCACCTTCACGCGCCACCATCGCCCTGTAGACCAAATTGTCCTCGCACAGCTGCAGCAGCACCGAAACGGCGATCTCCTTCTGCCGCTGGGAACCGACCTCGACGATCTCCACCAGCACCGGAATCCCTGCTTCCTCCACCAGCGACGACCTCGCCTCGGGGAGCGAGACCAGCACGCTGAGAACGTACGCCGCCTTGTCCACCATGTTTGACCCGAAATCCGCCATCAATTCCACCAGCGGCTTCATGATCCCCGCCTGTACGGCTCTGATTTTGTTCTCCTTCACCGAGCAGAGAGAGTAGAGCGCGGTGGACGCGTCCTTCTTCGCGCGGAAACCCCCGGTCTCCAGCAAGCTCACGAGCGGCGGAATCGCCCCGGACCTCCCGATTGCGACCTTATTCTCCTCCAATTGCGACAGCCGGAGCAGAGCGCAGGCCGAATTCTCCCTCGCCGTGGCCGTCCCGTTCTTGAGAGCTCGAATCAGCGGCTTAATCGCTCCCGAGGAGGCAATCGCCTCCTTGTTCTCGTCGCAGAGCGAGAGATTGAGAATCGCGGTGACGCCGTACTCCTGCAGCTGGAGGTCGGAGGAGGAAACCAGCGAGACCAGGGGCCGAATCGCCCCGGCTTTGGCGATCTTGAGGCGGTTCTCTGGCTTGTTCTTGGCGAGCAGCCTGATCTCCATGGCGGCCTGCTTCTGCTCGTCGATGGAGCAGGAGTCGAGGCTGGAGACGAGGTGGAGCATGAGGTCGTCGGAGTTGTCGGCGGCGCAGGAGACGAGGAGGCGGCGGCTCTCGGTGGAGGTGGTGGGGAACTCGCCGGATCTGTCGCTGTTGCAGTCGCTGAAGGCGGAGGAGGAGGAGTCGTCGGTGTTGACGCAGCAGATGTCGCCGTAGCTCCGCCCGAGGTAGCTGAAATTGGCCGCCGGGTTTTCCGTCCCCATAGGAGGTTACTCGGCGGCTTGGCTTGTGATTGAAGTGAAATTCGGATAACGAATCGGGTGGGTATCGATCGCGGGGCCCCGAAATTGAAGAGAGTGAGTTAAAAGAATGGAGATGGAGGGAGGTAATGGAAAAGTGTGGGAACGGCGTGGGGAAGAGGGAAGGAGGAGGTATGTTATATAAGGGACACCTGGACAAAGGGCGTGGGGTATGGGGAGATGGGAGGACACGTGCCCGTGGGTTGACTGTAATGTATAATTGTGTTGTATTGTGTATAGAGGAAGGTATTTTGCCCTTTCCCTCAAAAAAGATCCCAGTCCTCTCCTCTGCTTTGCCTGGGTGTAGTCAGCACGTGCGAGAGAGTGTCTCTGCTGGCTCTTTAAACGCGTGCGGAGGGAAGGTTCGTTGTTCCATAAAATTGCAACAGGCCCCCGCGCCATCGTTTTAGTTCCCGGCTCCCGCGTCCTTGGCTTTTGTTAACGGAAGATAAGAGAGGCTGCTGCGCGCAGTGCATATTGCGCTTTCCAATACCCTTTCTACAAGGATCGCGGGGCAGGATCCATGGACCATCTGATCCAACATTGTAGAATGCGGCCCAGTGGGTCTGAGGTATCAAGCTCACCCGGCGATCCGTGCCAAAGTAATAGTGACGATCATCGGGTTAACTTGTCAAAGAGTTATGGTCATGAGACGAACAAGATACTCTCACCTAAACCCTTATATAATGTATATCTTAGATAATGTGTGTTCCGGCAGTGTTGTTTGATAAAATGACTTCTAAAATGAAAGACAACGGTTATTCAGTTCTCACCTCTTCGAACAATGTTCAAATAAGAGTGTTTGAGTTTTTGGGAATCTACGTTAACAATTACCCTCTATGAAGATTCTTGTGAAGTGCTCCACGACTAAGGAGATCCTTTTTGAAAGACTGACTCCGCAAAGTAGTTGCAGAGAAAATTGAAATTTTTACAGAGTTCTTTCTGTGTTGATTTTGTTGTGCCCCCTCTCTCTCCTTACTCCAGTGGTTTTATCTAAATAGCTTCCGTAGTCTTCATGCAATGAAACCACGTCGTCTTTGTCTCCCACGTGCTCAGTCCTTCTCCACAAAGTCGTACTCTTCAACCGCTTTGATCTCCTCTTCACTCATGAATCTCACGTGTAATAAAATATCTTCCTTGCAACGTTGCTCACGCCTCCACCAACAAACTTGTCAAAACATTGTCGTCCACTCACAACATTAAACGGGGACAGGTTACGGTGATTACTACTTTTACTACAAAAGTAGTAATCACCGTGGTTACTAAGGGTAAATTGGGTATGAAAAATAAATTGTATTAATTAATTTTTTAATAAATTACATTTTAGGTAGTTACAAGAATCTATTAATTACACTTCTCTCTCTTTCTCTCACTTCCATAATCTCCAGCCACATCCCATTTCCTTATTTTTCTCAATCTTTTTGCAAAAGAAAAAAAAACACGAAATCACTACCAATCCATTAGACAACCACTACCATTTCGAAAAATATCAATATCATTGCAGAAATAAATCTATACCATTACACGAAAACTACCAATATAAACAATCTACCAATATAAATCTATAACATTTCACAAAAAATAAATACCATTGCAGATTTAAATTAATACCAATCGGCTAGACAACCACTACCATTTCGAAAAACACCAATACCATTGCAGAAATAAATCAATACCATTAGGAAAAACAATACCATTACACTAAAACTACCAATATAAACAATCTATATCATTACAAAAGTTAAAACAATACCATTGCAGAAATAAATCAATACCATTAAGAAATACAAAACTAACATGTCATAAAATGAAACAAATAAACCAGTACAAAAAAGTAAACCCAGATCTAGAGCCTCTCCTAAAAAGAGAGAGAGGGAGAGAGTTTGAGTGAGAGAGAGAGAGAGAGCAGCGGCAGCCGACAGAGAGTAGAGAGAGACAGATAGATACGACGAATAGATGGACCACAAAAATGAAGCCGGGGAGAGAGAAAGAAGGAGCACAGATCTCACCGGCAGAGACGTAAGTTGCGACGGTAGTAATTAGTGAGAGGTGGGAGGAGAGAGATGAGATTTTGGAGCTGGCGAGTGTGGAGACGGGAAGAAACCGCCGGCTGATGGAATTGTTGACGACGATGAAAGTGGGGTTGCACTAGAGTTATTGGGTTAAGGTAGTATATATAGAAATTTTTTTTAAGGGAAAGTAATTAGGTGTGATATTTTTTCGTTTCCAAAACTACCCTTAATCTAATCTCTACCGTCAATTTAAAAATAGGGTAAAATAGAGTCAATGAATGGTGTAGATTTTGGTAGCCACGGTGGCTACTAAAAAATTAATAACCACCCTGACTATTCCACGTGTCAAACGGTTGAAACATGTGGCCGAACCATCAATTTGAGGCCAGAGCCACGTCTTTGCTTAAGTTAAACAACATTGCTTGTCAACAGAGCAACATTGTTTTCCTTGCAGCTTTGCTCGTTAGTCAGAACCGCTTCGTGGTTTGAAACAGTAAACATGTTATGGCGATACTACACTAGGAAAAGTCGTTGCTTAACCCCACAACATTATCAAACTTGCGATATTGTCCAGCTCGCAACATCGTTAAGCTCGCGATGTCTTTGTCATCCGTTAATCTAATCTCCTCCGCAATGTCGTCAAAGTCATCATCATGATGATTTTTTTTATTCGCCTAGCTCAATCCGCAACACCATTGGCCTTGCGACATAGTTTAGCTTAAGGTCTTGGTGAATTCGCGACTTTGTTTAGCTCTGTGACGTTGTCAAACTTGCGGCATCGCTACATACCGCGATAATGTTTATCTCGACGTTGTTGAACTCACGACGCAACAAAAATATAGTATTTAGGACAAATAATTTTAGGTGTAAACAACTTGATCGTTAAAAAATAAATTGATATACCCACATCATATTGGTTTAAAGTTAAAACTAAGAGGGGTTTTGAAGTATAGGTAAAATTACATGTAAATTTTGTACAAATTCAGGAATTAGAATAGTTGATAAGACTTTAGCCCCTCACCCCTCCCCCAATTATAAAAATTCAAGTCAAACCCTCTTGTTCAGATTTCTGGCTACGTGGTTTTAGATATCAGATTTTTCGAAAAACACAGAGGTTCAAACCTAGAGATCTGAATTCACTTCCCTTTCTTTTCAATTCTTTTTCTTTTCACATCCCCTCAAGTCCAGGTCTTCTCGACGATGCTCATTTATTTGTCTAGAAATTTTATTTAATCCTAAATGTAGCTAGGATTGTTTTTATGCTATTCCTACAAGCAGTGGCAGAGCCACTTGGGGTTAAGTTAGGTCATTTGCACCACTTTCGTTAAAAAATATAATAGTAAACTATGTTTTTGTGATTGTGGATTGAATACAAGATTTCATTATTATTGTTAACAATTTTATGAAAATTTATGTTTTGTGATCTCTATTTAACTTTTAATTTATAGATTTTGTAACTGAATATAAAATAAACAAAAACTCGTATTTATAGTTGTTTGTTGCTATAAGTTGTCATTGCAAGCGTTGAAGAGTACTTACAGCAATGAACAAAGTGAAGAAATACTCCAAAATTAGATGAGTGAAGAAATCATGAATAATTTTTTTTGTGGCATCCCTCATTAGTTTCATGATAAATATATTTTTAGAAATTCTTTAGAATATGAAAACACATTCGGGAAATTACTTTATATTATTTTCTTCGCGTTAAAGCTATGTTAGATGAATTTCTGGCTATACAACTACTTAAGAGTTAAAGTTTAGCATACGAAAATATAGGGAATCCAAATTAATTTACTAAATTCATGGACGAAAAAAGGCGGAAGGAAAATAACCGCACATATCAAATGTCATTGTGCAAATTAAGCCACGAAAATTCAGCAGAAAGCCTCCCCGGCTCTCAAACTCGATATATATGTTATATGTACGTATTTATTTCCAAACACACATGAACAGAACAACCGGTTTCATGTGGCATTCTGAAAGCAGGTAACTAGCTAGCTAGGAAATATATAGCTGAGCCATAAGCAACAATGTAGTCGTAAATGACGTGGTTGCATGTGAATATAATTGAGTACGGTTCGTGGGTACGACATTTAGCCACGTACATGTCACATGTGGAACTTGTTGGTTCACTGCGATTTGTGTTCAGAGAATGAGATCAATCATGGTCACGATGGATTCCCAAATAAGGCCAACATATTACGTACCAGAAACACTGTGCAAAGGAGGATCCTCTTTCTCTATACGTTCATGCACCTACACCATATATATGCTTTCTGGTTTTTTTCTTCCTATTCGCATCCCCCCATCTGGCCATCTACCATGCTCACTTTTCTTTTCGTACACCCTCTATTTTTTTTCTTTCTTTAACGAAAACGAGACCCAAAAAAGATACGGAAAAATAATGGGAAATATTTTATAGATGTCCTTAATAAATCATTTAAAACTCCAACATGGTTCATCAAAAATTGCATAAGTGGAAATTATAAATAGTATCAATAAAAAGGCTAATACCATTAGGAAATCAGAACTATTAAAATCGTGTCATTTGTGTCCTAAAGTATCTATTGGACCCGTTAATATAACACGACCCAACTAGAACAACTGCGTTAATCCACAAGCATGCATGGGCCCAAGCCCACAAAACACCACAAAAACTCAAGGGAAGCCCAATGAAGGGTGGCAAGCGGATCCAGAGTGTATAAAACCATGGCCACCCCTGCCTTTCCACAAATTCGACGCATCCCTTGTTTCTTGGCTGAAACAATTGACGAGCCAGATAGGGGGGATTTGTGAGTGAAACATTTCGTATGCCGAAGTGAGGCACTCAACAATCAGAAAGAAAAAGGGATCTCCACCATGATTTTTTTTTTTATGAATGAGTGAGTGCTTGTATTCATGATAAGAGGAGGGTCTACAGGTAGTAGACTAAATCCGTAATGCAGCAAGATGGCTAAAGAAATTTGAAACAAAGAAAAACTTTAAGAGGACAGAGATAAAGCTAGTAAAATGAAACTAGTTTAAGGTGGTTGAAAGAAGAGAAGAGAACTCAAAAAACAAACAGTGAAGGGCATCACTTTAATCTATAGGGATGAGTTTGTGGAACATAGCGTAGCTGTAGATAATTCGATTGACCGTGTTGGTGATGCTCTTTACATGTGTGTTTGTGTCCCTGAAAATTCTAGAGTTTCTTTCAATC